ATTGGTGCACCTTGTCCACTCTGCAGATGTGCCCTCAAGTGCATGGAGGTCAAGGACTTTGTGGGAAAGGACTTGCCACCAGTTACAATCCCCCCCAGACATTTGCAGAGGGACCAAGTATTCCAAAACTACAGTAAAACTTATTTAAATTAATAGTCCTGACGCAAAACAATCTGCCATAAATGGCTGGGAAATACAGTAAGAAAAAAGGGCTGCTTCAGTATAAAACCTGAGTATAAAGCCTGGACATTCCTAAAGGAATACATGAAGCTGGCCTTTGAGCAAGACCCTTGGTCTTCTAATGTCAGTCTTCTGTACTCTGATTGGCAGCAGCTCTCCAAGGCTTTAGTCAGAGATCTTTCACATCACCTGTTCTGGGCCAAACTAGACAGTGCGCGTGACTCAAATTTGGCTCAGGAGCGCAGCGCGGTGGGAGTGGGGGCTTCAGCATCCCTTCCCACAAGGTTTTCCCTCGCCAAAATTGCCAACTTGGGCGGGGCTGTTTCCCTTTACCTAGGGCTCCACATGTACTGATGGCAGCACATGGAGCCCCACAGCAAGGTCAGTGGGCCCCCACATCTGTTTCAGCTGTGGTAAAACGATGTGGGAGGGAAGGCTCCTCCCCCACACTGCAACCCCAAGCCAAACTGGGCCGCCTGGAAATGATAGTTCCCTGATGTTATGTGTGACTGTTAGTCAAGTCAGGGGATCCCTGATTTGACTTTTGTCACATGTATCATTCTGTTTGGCTTTACCGAATCCTTTTCACTGGAGAGGCCAGAGGTTGAACCTGGGACCTTCTGCTTGCAAAGCAGACGCCGTTTCACTGAGCCATGGGCCCCCACCCCAATTTTTCCCCCAGGCACCAGGGCAATCCTACACATCATGAACAAAAATGAGCTTTGATGCTTCCAAGAGGTCCTGGCACTCCACTTTCCTGGAAGCTGCACTCCAAACCCCTTTCCTATAAGCCCAGCTACTTCATCTACTGGTTATGAAACATTCACAGCTGAGGGAAAGCATTCCGTGCATGCCCAGAAGCATTGTAGCTTGTGTTCCTACTTCACATGCTCCGGAGCTAAGCCCTGGCATCAACGGCAGTTTCCAGAGCGGAGTTCACAGATTCTGGAGTTGTGCCCTGACAGTAAATCTGAAATGGGAAGTTTGAAATTGCTAAAGTCACATATTTATAAAATCAGATTCAATTAGGTGAGAAAAGTGCAATTTCTGTCATCATGTCATAAAAAAGATGCCTTCCCTCCGCCCCCTTTCAGACCTACTGTAAGGAAGCCCAGCCGGTATTGTTACAGATAGCAGCTGTTTTCAATCAGTTACAAGGAGCAATCCAATTACTAGATGGTTTAGTGCAGTAACTGACTCCCACCTAATTTAATTTCTTTAGGTCTCCAAAGATCAATTGATCTGATTTGCTTCCATCCCCAAAGGCTAGTTAGGAAAAAAGCAGACTTAAATATCTGGAAATTAAATCCAAAGCTTTGTCCCACATTTACACTATTTAGGTCAACCCAAACACTGACAACGCTTTGCCAAATGAGAGTTCTCTTGGAGGCGATGCACAGCGGAGGCAACCATGGCGGAACGGGCACTGCACGCATCCCCAGACATCCATGCACCAAATGACCGTCCGCTTTCAGAAGAACATTTGGGAAACAGATTATCTGATTACAAGGACTAATCAAATATCCACCTTTCAAGAAGGTGCGGCTGTGAACTTGCGAACAACCTGTGCCGAAGCGTGTAAATGGACCAGATAATATTGTTGCTTTCCAGGAGTGGCATCTGAGACTCTATTAACCTTGCAAGTTGATTTCAAGGTCCATTGTTCCATGAAGTTATTGAAGTTTCACAATGTTCAGCTTTTAGAATATAGGAAAGAATGAAAACTTTTCCTCGTGTTTCCAGTTTCCCAGTCTTATAGATTTATCATAGGGTTGCCAGGTCCCCCCTGCCACTGGGGGGGGGGAAGGGTTGACAGATCCAGGCTGGGAAGATTTGGGGGCAGAACCTGGGTAGGACAGGGACCTCAGTGTGGTACAATCCCATAGAGTCCACCCTCCAAAGCATCCCTTTTCTCCAGGGGAACTGATCTCTGTAGTCTGGAACTGAGCTGTAATTCTGGAGGGTCCCCAGGCCCCACCTGGAACATGGCATCCCTGATTTATCTCTATAAGACAATTGGGTTTGGTCATCTCAGAGCTCTCCAGAGTATGCTTACCCCAAAGAGGCTAATGTCCCCCATGCCGAACGGGGAGGTAGGGATGAAGCTTCACAGCAAAATTCATGCCCACTGGGGAGAAATATGCACAGGTTTTGTGAACAAGCAAATCTTATTTTGGGCATTTTATCTAAAAAACACTGAAACAAAGGGCGGACCCTGATTTACTGAACTGTAATCATGCGGTATATCAGTCATATGAAGAGAACGAGATTATAAATCAGCAGTTCAAAGCCAACTTGGGTCTCAGAAGGTCACGTAACAAATCAACAGCTCAGCCCTAAAGATGTTCCTTGAAAGAAGTTTCAGTAGCATCTACTTAGTTCATAGGACTTACTGCCTATTAAGAACTGATCTTTTAAAAGTTATTAAAATAAGGAATTTCACCAAAGAGGGAAGTCGCACACCGGAGAGCTCTTGGCGCTTTTGAATGTGCTCATCACCAGGAGCCAAACAGAGAAGGGAGAAAAGAGGGATTCGCATCCTGTCCCAGCATACAAATTAGTTACAAACTTGTGTGGTGAGCCTTTATCTGTACCATCCTTCCAAGTGATTAAGAACATTTTAATCATATATCTAAGAAATGGATTTTCCCCCCTAAAGAGATTCCCTCCCCTTTCCACAGGCTGTATTTGGCCTACCCTCAATATCCCAGGCTAGCCTGATCTCATCAGATCTCAGAAGCTAAACAGGATCGGCCCTGGTCAGTATTTGGACAGGAGACCTCCCAGGAAGACCAGAGTCATGATGCAGAAGCAGGCAGTGGCAAACCACCGCTGAACATCTCTTGCCTTGAAAGCCTTACAGATGTGACTTGACAATGACAACAACAAATCCACAAGGCACTGATCTAAATGCACAATCTGTTGGTGGAAGGGCTATAAGAACTCCTTCCCCATCCCAGTTTTCCCACAGGAAGTCGCCACTCCCAATACGTTTTTACCTCCACTGACAGAAGTTTACAGCTCCCATAAGGTTTCCCCAACAGGGCTAAAAGCAGGTAGGGATGGTGATTTTCAGCTGGAAAATGGGGTGAGGGAAGAAAAGGTAAATGTTCCTTTCCACAGGCTCCATCAAGTCGTATTCAGCCTAGCAATTTAGTTTAAAACTGCCATCCTTCATTCATTCATTCTATTTTAATGCACAAGTCAGACAATTTTTTAAAACGTAAAATGTGATTTCAGCACTAGGTCGTCCAATGTGAATGTAAACTTGCTATTGGGGCTTCCTGGGACTACAGTCCCTTCACGTTTTCAGTTCTTCCTTTTACTTCCAGCATAATTCCTTCCTGTACCCACTTAATTCCTTCCTGTTTTCCCAGATCCACATTCACAAATTCATGTGAGAGCGGGGGGGGCGCTACGTACTTTGCAGCTTGCCAGAGGTCACTGCGAGGATAAAATGGGTTAGGGGAAAACATGCACACTGCCCTAAACTCCCTAGTGAGGCATGCTGGATCCACTGCATTTTCAGTCTGGGCACCAAGCCCTTACTGCAAAAGAAGGGCTCTTAAGAGATGCCTGCCTTCTTTGGAACTCCCTTCCTTCCTCCCTCAGAAGAACATCCCAGGTATCAGCCCATGACCACTAATCATTATTATTCCCAATTTCTCATTTACGTTAGGAAGAGCTGACCTAGGATCGACACGGATGTGACGATCTTTTTGTAACCTGGGTCTGTGTGGGTCCAAGAGCAGCAGACTCATAGAGGTCTTGTATCCCCTCTAGCGTGTAGGGTTGGGATCATTTGTTTGAAGGAGCTCTTGTCTGAATTTTCCTATGTACTTTGTGTGGCTTTGTCGTTAAGGTGCTACTGGACTCTTGCTCTTTTCTAATGAAAGCGAATGTGAGAATAAAACCGTGAGTAGTATTTGAGGTGCTCCTGTTTATACCTGGGAGAAGGGACCCAGATCTTTGGCAGAGGCACATAAAAGGTAAAGGTTCCCTTGCTCGAAAGCCAGTCGAGTCCGACTCTAGGGTTGCGGTGCTCATCTCCGTTTCAAAGGCGAAGAGCCAGCGCTGTCTGAAGACGTTTCCGTGGTCATGTGGCCGGCATGACTAAACACCAAGGCGCACGAAACGCTGTTACCTTCCCACCGAAGCGGTACCTATTTATCTACTTGCAATTTCTTGCTTTCGAACTGCTAGGTTGGCAGGAGCTGGAACTAGAGACGGGAGCTCACTCCGTTTTGCGGCACCCGGGTCTCGAACTGCTGAACTACCGACCTTCCAGTCTGCAGTTCAGCGTCTTAACCACTTGAGCCACCGCAGCTTTTTCTCTGAAGTGATGGGATGGAGGATCTTCCTTTCATGGCTGGGGGGGGCATTCAGCCCCCCCCCCCCGTGTTCTGAGGCAGTTCATTAAGGATCCTGCTACAGGATCTTATGGAGTATCTGAATCAGTTCCAGTGGGCTTGGAATCTGGCAGATACGGATCGTGAGAATGGACATGATAAAGGCTTAGAAGTACCAGAAGTGAAAGGCAAATGCTAAAGTTATGCTGTCGTCTATTTCGACAAAGCCCTGCATATGTGTAGCAAAAGGTCCAGAAATCTGACGGAAAAACCAAGATCAACGTAATTGCATTAAGAACCATCTTCAAAGAACTGATACTCTTTTGGAAAGAAGATGGAGACCCCTTTCATGCGATGGGACAACATTCAAATGTGCTGCTTCGTAGATGAGCTGAAAGGATACTTTTCATCCCAACTCTCCCTTTCCCCTCTTTATCTTATCAGAACCAAAAAGTAAATAAAGTTCCCCCATTACCTCTCAATATCAGTGAGTCTGGAAGAGTCCCTGAATCCTTTGGCAAATGGGTTGCTGTCAATTTTCAGCTTGGTTATCTGGAAGGAGGGAAAAGAACAGGACATCTGCTATCAATCATGCAGCTTACAAAATGGGACCCAAACTGGCTCATCCTCACTGAGTTCTTTGTTGCATCACTACGGATTTGGTTTCATCTCACAAGGAGGATCAGCAGGTATAGGACATGCTGCTAGTATTAATTCATTAATAATTATCGTATGGCATTGTGTGTCGAATAGCCCGGACATCCGAAAATTGTCTGGCAGCTGAAAGTTCCAGCTCTTAGCGTTATGCACTATTAAATAATGAGCTAGACTTGTTTTTTTTAGGGGCTAAGAGAGCTCTAAAAGAACTGTGACTGGCCCAAGGTCACCCAGCGGGCTTCATGTAGAGGAGTGGGGAATCGAACCCAGCTCTCCAGATTAGAGTCTGCCGCTCTTAACTGCTACACCAAACTGGTTTTCTGCTGCTAGTATTGTAACGCAGCCAGACTGTTGCAGTGAGTGACTCAGCATGCCTGGACACTGGAGGGCACTACATCACTCCAAGTGTGCATAGGTGTTATCTCCTTGAATGGGAACCCTTCCTTTGTCTTAACCTGGGAGCTGCCCTCTGACTCCCTCCTCTCTTGCTCACTTTGTCCTCTCAGGCTTGCTTCACATGGCCTTAAGTACATAAGAACATAAGAGGAGCCAGTGTTGGATCAGGCCAGTGGCCCATCTAGTCCAACACTCTGTCACACAGTGGCCAAAAATACCACGTGCCATCAGGAGGTCCACCAGTGGGGCCAGGACTCTAGAAGCAATCCCAAGCACCAAGAATACAGAGCATCACCTGCCCCACCCTGTGAGTTCCTATCTATACCTTGTGGCTAATAGCCACTGATGGACCTCTGCTCCATATGTTTATCCAGTTCCCTCTTGAAGCCGTCCATGCTTGTAGTCGCCACCAGCTCCTGTGGCAGTGAATCCCATGTGTTAATCACTCTTTGGGTGAAGCAGTACTTCCTTTTATCTGTTCTAACCCAACTGCTCAGCAATTTCATGGAGTGCCCACGAGTTCTTGTATTGTGAGAAAGGGAGAAAAGTACCTCTTTCTCGACCTGCTCTATCCCATGCATAGTCTTGTAAACCTCGATCATGTCACCCCTCAGCCATCGTTTCTCCAAGCTAAGGAGCCCCAAGCGTTTTAACCTTTCTTTATAGGGAAAGTGTTCCAACCCTTTTATCATTCTAGTTGCCCTTTCTGCACTTTTTCCAATGCTATAATATCCTTTTTGAGTTGTGGTGACCAGAACTGTACACAGTACTCCAAATGAGGACGTACCATCGATTTATAGAGGGTATAGAGGGTATGATACTGGCTGATTTGTTTTCAATTCCATGGAGACTTTCCATGGAGATGCATCTCTCTGCAGGTCTCTCCTGTAGGGACAATTGTCCTCATACTCCCCGTACACATGGTGCCGGACAAGCTGGCCTTTTGTGATGGGGAAAGTACTCTTCGGCTTAGGCTTCTTTGACTTCTTTTGAATGCAACCTGAATGTGAACTGGATTGAATACATTTAAGTTTACCTCTTTATTCGCAATATACTTCTTGGGAGATGTATTTACTGCACTCGGTATAATGCATCTAAAAAGGTAAAGGTAAAGGTTCCCTTGCTCGAAAGCCAGTCGAATCCGACTCTAGGGTCGCGGTGCTCATCTCCGTTTCAAAGCCAAAGAGCCAGCGCTGTCCGAAGACGTTTCCGTGGTCATGTGGCTGGCATGACTAAACACCAAGGCGCACAGAACGCTGTTACCTTCCCACCGAAGTGGTCCCTATTTATCTACTTGCAATTTCTTGCTTTCGAACTGCTAGGTTGGCAGGAGCTGGAACTAGAGACGGGAGCTCACTCCGTTTTGCGGCACCCGGGTCTCGAACTGCTGAACTACAGACCTTCCACAGCCTGCAGTTCAGCCTCTTAACCACTTGAGCCACCGCAGCTCCTTATGAGTCTATGGCTGGGCAAAACTCTGCTATATTAACCAACTATCCCAATACAGACAACTCTTGACATCATACCGTAACTGGAACTCCTTCTATGTTATTTGGCTTTTTAAAGCCATGGGGTGGGTGGGTAGGATTGCTGACTCTGGTCTGGGAAATTCTTGGTGATTTGGAGACAGTGCTGGGGGATAGTGAGGTATGGTAAGGGGGTGGCTCAATAGATATGTGGTGCCATAGATTTCTGTAGTCTGGAGATCAGTTGTAATTCTAGGAGAACACCAGACCCCACATGTTGGTTGGCAAGTCTAGGGGAAGTATAAATTGGGATACCAGGGATGTGGGATGGAAATAAGACAGCGAGAGAGGGATCAAGGAGAGTCAGCAGAAAGTTATTCCGGGACTGTCTGCTTGGTTCCTCAGCAATGCAAGTGGAGTCAATCTACAGGTGGGCAATTTCCCTGACTTCCTCTTCCATTGGTGCCTTCTGTACCCCCAGCTGTGCTCCTAGAGGTCAAGAGGTTGTGTTTTTTGTGCGTTTGTTGTTTGTATAAATTGCTTTTTTGCCTTTCATTGTAAGCCACTTCCGAGTCTCCAGTAGGGACAAAGTGGGATATAAAAGCGTAAATAAATACGTGAATGGGGGGGGGGTAGATTCTCTTCAGATCATTTCACAAATAAATCAAGAGAACATCTGAAAGAAAGCTAGTCAAAATGAAATTTGACCTACAATTCAACTCTGTTGCAGTGGCTTGACTGCCTAACAAATGCATGACCTTTAAATCTTAAATGTGAGATAGTTTGTTGAAAGTGTAATGTATTTAGCCCTTATCTAATAACCTACAGAAATGTAATCAGGCCTCTTAAAACCAGCACTGAAAGAAATGGCAAAAAATGAGAGGTTCCATTTTCATTAGTCATACGTAATACGACAGCATCCATCTCTAGGATTTCCAGAGAAGTTCCACTGGGAAATTCAGCAGTATTTACAGTATGCGCCTAAGGATCAGACGAAAGCTTTCTAAAACTGATTTATCAAGGCAAACCCCATTTGTTTCAGGGCTTGGCTCCAGGATTAGAGATTACTGTCATGAGCATGGGAAAAGTCCACATGGATCCACTCAGCAAATCCATTATGTTGTTCATTGGAATAATTAATTTATATGCCATTTACTTGCACATGGCAAATTGGTTTATGAAACTGGGTTGGAAAACCTGGGACATTTTGAACTAAAAATAATATCAAATCAAAATATGCTTCACCCCAGTTCTGCAAGGATGATGGACATGTGGCGACAAGCTTCTGTGCCTTTATCAGCCAACCAGAGGCAATCCATGGGCACCAGAGAAGAAGAGAAGAAGAGAAGAAGAGAAGAAGAGAAGAAGAGAAGAAGAGAAGAAGAGATTGGATTTATACCCCGCCCTTCACTCGGAGTCTCAGAGCGGCTTACAAACTCCTTTCCCTTCCCCTCCCCACAACAGACACCCTGTGAGGTGGGTGGGGCTGAGAGAACTCTGATACAAACTGCTCTTTTTCAAGGACAGCTGTGCCAGAGCATATTTATTTATTTATTTATTTATTATTTACATTTATATCCCGCCCTCCCCGAAGGCTCAGGGCGGCTTGTGACTGACCCAAGGTCACATCAGCAGGTGCAAGTGGAGGAGTGGGGAATCAAACCCGGTTCTCCCAGATTAGAGTCTGCACACTTAACCACTACCCCAAACTGGCTCAGAGGACAGTGTATGGGGAAGAATCCCAAATCCAGTAGCTTGCACATGTGTACCACTCACATGTTGCTCTCACGTCAAGCAGATAGTGATGTCACCATTGTATGTTTTGGTCACCTCATCTAGGTGTAGGGATTTGAGCAACATTTAGTTGATCAGTTAGGTTAATCAATTACAAACCTTTTGGTCAATTGCAAAAGCTGCACCTATTTAATCTGGCCATAGACTTTTAAGAATGTGTTAAGTACCTATGTAAAGCCCCACTGAATATAGACAGTGTCTTAGAAGAGGTATCCCTTTCTCACAAAGAACAGCTCTTCTAAGGTAGCACCCGCTTTAATTCATGGCACATGATCAGAAATAAGATGGGGGGGGGGTTCCCAGTGATTGTTTGATTCAGACGCAGAGTGAGTTGATTAGTGTATTACAGCTCATTTGGTTAGCAGTCTACAACTGTCTCTCCCTGGAAGCTAAATTGACCAAACCGAGGCTATTGTACTTTGGTCACATCATGAGAAGACAAGTTTCACTGGATAAGACAATAATGCTGGCAGAAGTTGAAGGCAGTAAGAAAAGGAAGACCCAACTTGAGATGGATTGGCTCCGTCAAGGAAGTCACGGCCCTCAGTTTGCAAGACCTGAGCAAGGATGTTAATGATAGGACATTTTGGAGGTCATTAATCCACAGCATCTCCATAAGTCGAATGCGACTTGATGGCCCTTCCACACACACGACAATTGTCTGGAGAACAACCCTGCTGGGAACTGACTCTAGAGAATGTCCTCCAATACCACCAGTAATCGGCACCATGAGAGAAGACGGTGCTGGCCATTTCTCAGGCAGAGCACATTCCTCGTGCATGGCAAGTTGCACATCCCTGGAAGCCTTGGGTTCAGATCCTCCCCTTGGGCTGCCCACTCTCAGCCAAACCTGCTTTGAACAGCTGTTTGGGGACAAAATGGGAGAGAAACATGTACACTGTCCTGAGAGAATGGTGTACACTGCCCTGAGCTTCTCAGAGACGGAAAGGGGAAAACAGTAGCACCTTTAATGTTAACTGATAACATATCGCATGGGGCTTTGGCTTAGCAGGAGAGCATCTGCTTGGTTTGCAGAAGGTCCCAGATTCAGTCCCCAACATCTTCTGTTAAAGGTGTTCTGTTAACAGGTGGCCAGAAAGAAGACCTCTGCATCAGAACTCTTGCAAGTCGGAGTAGACAATACCAACATCGATAGGCCAATGGTCTGATTCAGTTTAAAGCAACACAAATAAGGGTCTGTGGTTCAGTGGGAGGTCACCTACTTTGCATGCAGAAGGTCCCAAGTTCAACCCCTGCATCCCCAATCGAAAGCACCAAATAATAGGTGACGTGAAAGACCTTTAATGAAGGCTCTGGCAAGCCATTGCCACTCAGAGTGACCCGGATACACCAAGAGTCTGACTTAGTATAAAAGCAGTTTCAGGCGTTCATCACTGTAACAAGGACCCTTTGACCTGGAACAATATATATTTACATGTTATATATTTCAGCTTTTAATAACGGCTGCTCTGAAGCTTTGGAGAATACCCCAGGTTTTTGCAGGTAGAAATAGATAATATGTATGCATTCGACAAAACATTTCCATTTGACAAAACCGTGGATGTGGCCACTATCAGGTAGAGATTATGGCAGTGAATAGAATCTGGCCCCGTGGATTTGCAAGAGAATCCTGTAGGGAGAAACCAGACTCTGGAAGTGGCTTAAAACGGATCTTGCCCTCCCCTTTTGTGGGGCTCCCTGATCGGTACCCGTCTCTGCCTACTATCACCTCCGCTGGCCCCAGAGACAGCTGCGGCTGGTTCATGCTCACGTCTCAATCCTTAATCAGAAAAATCAGACTAGTCTGTATGTCAGCCAAGGTGTCAGAAAATGTTGCCTCTCTCCAATATAAGCAGGCGTCTTGTGATTCTCCAGTAACACCTCCCCAAATGGCTTGGATGTGAGAACTTCACCCAGGATCAGAGAAGGGTCTCTCCAACCTGACATGGCTCAAGAGACATGTCAAAAAGCTAGTCTGAAGTTTACATAACAAGAATCAAAAGATATTCTTCATCCCAAGCCTTCAAAGTGTTCCACTTCAATACCATTGCAAAACACACTCCAGTGACATGATATTCCCCCAGGGGGGCATTTTAGAAAATGTTCAAAACGTTTCTTTTAAAATGCGACCGGCAACACCTTTTGGAAGCATCTTCCACAGTCTCTAAGATGGCAAAATGACTGGATGAGAGAGTGCCCGAGTTGTATATTATAGCAACTCTGTGTTATTCTAATTAGCGGCATTTTTGCATACGATTTAGGGAGGAGAGAAGATGCTTCCTTTCAGGGAAATGTTTTAGGCAGTGCCAAAGTTATTGCCTTTGAATGGAGCTTCCCTGAACTCTGATAGCTAAAGCAGCCTTATTTTCTGAATTAAAACTGGAGGTTCCTTTGACTTATATTACTTTTAAAGGGGTCTTCTTAGAGCATGCAAAATAGAGTTCCTGTCCTCAGAGAAACCTCCCTGTCACTGATCTCGATGTGTGTCCTGACAAGAATGAGGCCATCCAGCAGCATCAACTCATGCAGAGATGCAACAGGCAGATGAGTGACCCTTCTTTCCTTCCTCCCAAGACTACTGTAAACAGACAGAAGTATTTATTTCCTCAGTCAAAGCTTGTGGAATACACTGCTGTGGGACATAATAGTAGCTACCACTTTGGTTGGCTTTGAAAAGGAATAAAACAAATGTATGGAGGACAGGCCCATGATTTGGCTATTTGCCATGATGACTAGACTATATGGAAGGAAACGATGTGCCCCAGCAATAACCCTCTCAGTACCACAGGTGGTGGCTGACAACAAGGGAAAGGTCTTGATCTCTGTGCCTTCCTTCTGGACCTTCTGTGGGCATCTGACTGACCTCTGTGTGAAAGAGGATGCTAGACTAGATGGACCTTTGGTCTGACCCAGCACAACCCAGTATGAGAGCCAGCGTGATATAGTGGTTAAGAGTAGTATATCTTTCCCTCTCCCGCCCTGGTAGTTAGATCTAACACTGAATGTATGGACAGATGACCTGCCTTTACTGTGCTCAATAAAGTTGATCCTTCTGGAGGAACCTTGTTGAGACTGATTGCTGTGGGACTCTGACAGCAGCAAGGAACTTGTGACCAATGTGTGACTGACTGAATCAAAGTCAGGTCAGGGATCCCAGACACAACATGTTGAAAAGCATAACAGTCGTTTGGCCCTCAGATGTCAAGCTGAGTTTTGTGTGCTTAATTTTCCCAGTCTGCTTCTATGACTCAAGAGGCTTTAAAAAACACACACCCTCTGCTACAGTTTTAATTGAAATTATGCCATCTGCGGCTGTCAATTGAGTTTGATTCTTTTATTTATCTTTTTTTAAGGAGGTGATTTAACAAGTATGTTGTGAGGCACCTTGGGCATTTTTTTTAAAAAAGGGTCCCCCGTATTTTAAATGTCGATTAAATATGACTGGCAAGCCATTCCAAATCTGGTGCCCTCTCCGTGTCATCTGGCTTTCGTGGTGTGTTGAACCCGGTCTGCTCAAAGGCTGCCAGCAGTAGTCACGAGTTCTCCACAGAGCTGGAACAGAGCAGGCAAGCAGAGCAGGCCGGGCATTTTCTGGCAAGCAGCTGCACCCTGACTGGATGGTGACATTCAGCCTTCATTTTCATACGTTAGCCTTGCAGCCTTTACCAAAGACCCACGTTCACAGTAAACTCACAGGCAACACTCACCAATTGGTTCTGGTAGGCCGTGACTGCTGTAAACACTGTCTCCGGAAAGATAAACGTCCTAAATTCTTCCGATTTCAGGTTCAGCAAGGAAGCGGTATGGTCTTTCTTCTTAATGATGTGCACCCGAGGCTGATATTTGTGCATCGAATTCAAGATTATCTGGAGGAAGGGGAAAAAGGAGTGTCAGTGCTCAGCTGTAGTGTAACGCTCAGTGCTTTCTGTCTTGTTAGGTTCTTAGATTCTGTCATATTCCAAACTATACAAACAGCTCTTTTGGCTGGCCGTTATTCACATACTCCAAAAGAGCAATGTCTCTGCATTTGTGGCTTGCCAGAGGTGGAGGACCTTCCTCACTACATGCTCCACTGTCCGCTATACAGCACTCCAAGAGAGAAATATTTAGCAGGAATTCTATCGGTTACGCAAGCATACCCAGAAACTGAGAAGATTGCGTTCTTGCTTTCAGATAATGATGCTTATCTATCCTATAGAGTTTCCCCGTTTGCTTTAGCAGCAGCTAAGATTAGATCTAAGGGGCAAGCTACCTGATGGTGATTAAACCTGTTCTATTTTTCTTTTTATTACTGACTAGTAGTTAATTTTAACCCAGATATTAACGGTGCTTTTTAACTTTTTATGATTGCTCTGCTGTATTCTGTATTCTGTAATGACCAGTGGCTTAATACAATAAACCTATTAGTTGATTGATTGATTCTGTCATGGGCTTTCACTTTTTCTACATCCAGCACGTCTACCCTTATGGCCTCATCATTTCTTATATTATACTCAAAGAAAGACAAACAAAAGAACAATGTGCAAGGCAGGGAGTATATTTAGTTTATATGATCCCTGCACATTTCGGCCCCCACCTTGAACAGATTCCCGAATTAAGCTCATAGCGAAATGCGCAGGTATCCATAAGAGCTAAATAAACTCTTCCCTGACTGCTGGTGCAGCTGTCATTTCTTCTTATATTGTGCTCAAACCAGCATGTTTTAGATTGTGCAGGTGTGTTTCACTCTACTCCAGAAGAGCAGAATGCCCTGTCATTCTCAAATGATCTATTGTATCGTAAGTCCCATCATTAAGACCTGGAAGATAAATGCAGTGCAAAAAGAAACTAGAATGGATCATGGCATGGCAGCATGCCAGTGAGGGATGCCATTTTGGAATGTGCTTTGTGTAAGAAAAAACACACCTACCTAAAATCTCCCTACATAGCAGAGAACTGACCAGGATAGCCTTATGATAAGTATTTTTGTTTGTTTGCTTTACTTGCAGGGAGTTTCTATTTTACATAGAAGGGCACTCAGGAATGTGATCTCACGCCTGTGGGAGACAACAGAGGGAGGGCTTCTGGAGTTCTGGCCCCACTGGTGGACCTCCTGATGGCACCTGGGTTTCAGCTACTGTGTGACACAGAGGACTGGACTGGATAGGCCGTTGGCCTGACCTAACATGGCTTCTCTTATATTCTTACAGTATGAAGCAGTCCCTTCTCATCTGGCTGCCTAGGTATGTAGATCAGGCCTGGTGTTAATGACAACATTAGCGAAAGGGATTTGGAGACTTTTCCTTCTTCTGTTATCTCTGTGGGGACATGATGGCCTTTGGGAATGCAATAGCCTATACTAAGCCTCCACAAAGCCAAACAAGTGTGCAAAGAGAGAGGTCTGCCACAAAGACTCGCTGGATGACCAAATCTCTCACTTCAAACACAGAATTGTTTCTTTCCTTACAGCTAGTGATGAGACCATCAGGGGACGTATGCCAGGTTAAAGAGCATTTTGGTGAAACGGTAGGCAACGGAGGAAAGCAAGGGATCCTTCTTGGTCATGTTACTGCCATCCCAACAGGTTTGCTGATCTATGGCTACTGCTTTCCAAAGTGCCCAGGATCTCTGTTGCTTGAAAATGCTGCTTTCTTCCCTTCTAGGCAGATACAGCTACCAATTCCCAGCCAGGGAATTCGAAGCCCAGTACCCAATAAAGGCAGAAAACAGCTGTGCGAATCTGCTCAGGACTTGCGGGGGGGGGGTGGGATGACTAAGACAGAGTCCTCCTAACGTAACTCCACCATGAAGGAGAATCTAGGCACTGCCAGTCCCCAGCCTGGGTTCTCTGCCACCCAATCAGCAGTTACACTCCGAGCAGCTTAAAGAGACAGAAGACAAGCAGTGGGGGGAGGGAGAGAAGGAACGCAGCAGGGTCATATTTAAATTATGTCTACTCAGGGCTATTTTGGGGCAGGAATACACAGAAACGGAGTTCCGGCTAGCTCCTGAGTTGGCCACGCCCAGCAGGAACTCATTAGCATAATAGGCCACACCCAACAGCAGAAACTCATTAGGGTTAGCTACATTAGGGGTGTGTGGTCTAACATGCAAAGGAGTTCCTGCTACAAAAAAAGGCCCTGGGTTTTGACAACAAACAAGGTAAACAGAATAAGAAGCAAAAGGTGGGTGTGGCTGGATGACCACACTTCTGGTGACATGGGGGTGTGGCCTAATATGCTAATGTGCTGTGCTGCCAGGGTGTGGCCTACTATGCTAATGTGTTTCTGCTGTTGGCCTGTGGCCTGTTATGCGAATGAGTTCCTGCTGGGCTTTTTCTACAAAAAAAGCCCTGTGTCTACTTCACAGCCGCAGCTCTGCCAAACCCCGCAGCAGCTTCCTATATAGACGACCGACGTCGTTCAAACAAATCAAACATGGTGAACATGGAGAGTGACAACAGAACCATAGTAAACCACAGAACTATTCCAACAAACATGTGGTAGCAAAATATTGATACATGTGTCCCAACACGTAAGGTGGCTTTGCTACTTGGGGGGGGGAAGGGGGGGGAGAACATGGGCTGTTGTTGGGGATTTTTAAAAATCATTTACAAACAGATTGGAGGAAAAAAAGAGATTACTTCACCCAGTAGCCAAAGCTTGTCAAAGCCTGGCATTAGGCAGATAGTTGTGAGGAGGAAGTCGAGAGTTCAGGGGGCCTCAATGGGAAAGGGTGCATCTCTCACAGCCGCAGAAGGCGGAAGGACATACAGGAAGACCTCCGCACAGAGGACTTTACAGGCACATATGGGTGCAAGTATTCCTTTAAGTACGCTGGTCCCAGATCAATTAGGGCTTTAAAAGATCTTGGAAATGCCTAGTAGTGAGTAGGCAACCAGTGTGTGTGTGTGGGGGGGTGTTGGTGGGGTGTTGTTTTTTTACAACCCCCTGTTGTACCCAGAAGACCAGGGAATCTTAGGCATGGACATCAGGAGTGTTATGTACTGGCATACATACTGTAGAGCTTGAGTCCAAAGCTCTATCTTCTCCTGGTATTGCAAAACGTTTAATCTGATTGGGTGCTCCGTACAGTCTACCAATCAGAACACCAGAATGTTCCTGGAGGGAAACAAGTTCATTGGTTGTTATCTGTAAATACTGATTGGTTCTCATCCGACATATGGGCGTGGTTTACCTAGCCCGGACAGTTTAAAAGAGAGCCTCTTGCTCTGTTGTTTTGTGTTCATTCTTCACCTGTTCAATAAAGCTGAATCACTGTTTTGGAAAGCTGCGCTGAGTCTCGTACTTAACAAGGAGGTACACAGATGGCCCCCTACCTGTGCCTCAAGCCATGGGTAAAGAAAGGAAGGACAGAGGGTGTTTGGGTGGCAACTGAAGCTAGGGAAGGCGAAGAAGCCCTGTCTCCACCTCTCCAGGAAGACAGCCAAAAGGAAAGTGTGTGCAGCGGGGGATCATTTTTTAGGCACATTATTTTCCATGCCCACAGGGCTGCCTACTCACGTGACCATGCTGATCCAGCTCATTGTTTGTTAACTTCACTTTTTCAAAGGACACCATCTGCTTCAGCAGTTGTTCACCCGTAAAAGGAGAATCCGGATGTACATACAGTCTAGAAAGACGACAGAAACAGGGCTCGTCAAGCAAGTGGATCCTCGTCACCACTGGAGACAAAGTAGCCCTATAACAAGAGCCTGGCTTACCGACAAAGCCCCTGGCCCTGCCAGGTTTGGGCAATCAATAAAGCAGAAGCAGTAAAATGTTTGAAAAATGGGTTGTAGAACAGCAAGGGTGGGTGGGTGGGTGGAATGCTGGTGGAAAGTGATTTCAAGGTGCAGCGGATATGGCAACCCTGCAGGGTTTTCAAGGCAAGAGACGTTCAGAGGTGGTTTGCCATTGCCTGCCTCTGCGTAGCAAACCCTGGACTTCCTTGGTGGTCTCCCACCTCCACATACTAACCAAGGCCAACCCTGCTTAGCTTCTGAGATCTGATGAGATTGGGATAGCCTGGGCCATCCAGGTCAGGGCATGAGTGGTACACACGATGCTACAGCTACAGGATAAAACCCACAGACACTTCCTTGCAGATGAATTCCATTGCAATCAATGGGACTTAGTAACAAGTGAACCTGATGTAGAGTGAGAGGTCTGAAACAGTCTCCTTAAGGCCCTCATTTGCTGATTAGATCATGAATAATAGTGTTCCTTTCCTGGACTTTTTCATTTCCTGGGCCTTTCATTCCTTTCGTAATCACAAGCATACTTTTATTTAGTTAAAAGGTAAAGGTAAAGGTTCCCTTGCTCGAAAGCCAGTCGAATCCGACTCTAGGGTTGCGGTGCTCATCTCCGTTACAAAGCCGAAGAGCCATTATCGTCCTTGAGCAAGGCTTCAGGTAACAACGAATGGCACAATGAACATGTAACAGCATAGCCAGAGCACATTAAGAGCTGATGTGGTGTAGCAACTAGAGCAGTGATGGCGAACCTTTTAGAGACTGAGTGCCCAAACTGCGACCCAAAACCCACTTATTTATCGCCAAGTGGATGTAGAGTGAGAGGTCTAAAACAGTCTCATTAAGGCCTTCGTTTGCTGATTAGATCATGAATAATAGTGTTCCTTTCCTGGACTTTTTAATTTCCTGGGCCTTTCAGTCCTTTCGTAATCACAAGCATAATTTTATTTAGTTAGCCCATGCTTAATGTTTCCATTCCAGCTAATTGTTAACTGTGTTCATGGCTATGACTTTTCCAAACGGAAGACAAATTGTCTCTCTCCACCATTATCGTCTTTGAGCGCTTCAGGTAACAACGAATGGCACAATGAACATGTAACAGCATAGCCAGAGCACAGTAAGAGTGTTGGAGTTTCAAGTTGCTTACACTTCAGTCATTACAGAGTTAAGTGTTGTTTGTTAGGAAACAGGATGTTACGTTTCTACGGCAGTGGGAAAGTTTGTGGGAGTTGCTTACCCTAATGAAGTGACCTGTAACCTTTGTATTGGTCAACTAACAACTTGCTTGTGGAAATGCTTTGATCTAGCATTAATGTATTCACAAGGTTTATGGCTCTTTGTGTGAAACAGACAGGAAGCTCCCACTAGAAGCCTAGATAGATAGAAATGTAGCTGTTAGTATGTAGTGCTGAAAGTAACTGCAAGTATGTAACCTTTTCATTTTATTTCTTTTATCCAAAGTACCTTACCCATGTTTTATTTTGTTTTTGCTTTATTTTGTTTTGTAGTAAAGATATTTTTCTTTTACTAATGTGACTCTTGTGTTTGCAAAACGACCATCGATCTTGAACCTCAGAATCCCAACAAAGAGCTGATGTGGTGTAACAACTAAAGTGATGGACTATAACCAGGAAGATCCAGGTTCAAATCCCTGCTCTGCCAAGGAGGTCAGAGGATAGCCTTGGGCCAGTCACTATCCCTTGGCCTAGGCTATGTCCTGACCTGGGCGGCCCAGGATAGCCTGGTCTCTTCAGATCTCAGAAGCTAAGCGGAGTTGGCCTTGGCTGGTATTAGGAAGGGTGACCTCCAAGGAATACCAGGGCTGTGACGCAGAGGCAAGCAATAGTAAACCACCTCTGAAATGTCTCTTGCCTTAAAAACAAGTCTAGCTTGCCACCTAGTGCTGCACAATGCTAAAAGAGCTAGAACCTCTGGCTGCCAGACAATCTTAGGCTCTCCTGGCTATGCTACACACAATGCCGTATAATGAGGAGGAGAAGGAGAGGAAGTGGTGGTGGCGGCGGTGGCAGCAGGAGCTGGTGGTGGCGGCGGCGGTGGCAGCAGGAGCAGCTGCCTAGCCTGTTGTGTTGATAAAATGGAGGGAGTACATACACTTTCCATAGCTGCATGGAGAATGGGCTGGATAGAAACAAACATATTCTGTACAACCTAACAAGTAATTTTTTAAAAAAAATTACCAATAATTTTCAGCAGTCATTTTGCCCTCTGCTGGTTCATGCTGGATCTGGGCTAGAAAGTTGTGTATTTAATAAGGGGTTAACAGCAAGCATGGTTCATATTGCCAAGGGAATTAATCAACACTCAATACCAGTCTTAAAAGAACAAAGAAGAAGAAGAAAACTGAACTCTCAAAGCAATGGAGAATTTAGCTACAAGCTAGAACTCATAAGACTGACAGTTCTTTCCAGAGTCTAGGCTAGTTTGCATAGCTTTCAAGCTAACTTGTAGTCTATGCCGAGTAAACCTTTAAAAGTTTCACAATAGAGTTTTTAAAAGGAATTTTGACCTGCACATCCACAGCAAGGGGGGGAAAAACTGCTTTGCATGTTGACAGCAGGAAAAGAAGGATTTAATGGTCATTGGTAGTGAAGGTTTATGAATGGAAATGCTTTCAACCGATTATTGCATAATCCTCGTTAATTTCAGCCTTGGCAGTTGCAGTGCTGAAAGTTATTTCTATACATAAAGGATGCGGGGAATGCCTCAGGGTATGAATGTCACCGAGGTTTACGTGCAGACATCATTCCTTTTTTTGGGGGGGGTAGATTAAGTAAACTTATGCACGTGGCTTTCTGAAATCAACAAGTTAATTTCATGTGACTGAATCTTGAAATAACACGGCATTGCCTTGTCATCACCTAAATTTAAATACAGATGGATGTGTGGTTTTGGTATCAAAGCCTCAGAAACCAGGCAGTAAGCAGTGAATTTAAAATCACGCAAACCTCAAATCTATTTATGATAAACACAGTGACTGCCCATGATGGCAATAATAGGTTTTAGAGTAATGTCAAAGCTTGGATCCACATTTTGCACACCTTGGTCCTATGCCTATTTCCTGAGAAGATTCCAATGACGGATTGCTCCCAAGTCAGAAGGCATGGAATTGTTGCCCCAGAAAAATTAGGCACATAAAGAACCAATACAGAAAACTGGGTTTATTCCATTTGGATTTCTATTTGGATGCATCTCCAGAAAAAGCTGCTCATGTTTCTAATACTGGCTTAATTTATCTATTCAGCTTTAAAATCTACCCGTGGGGAAAGAAGAAAATTTAACACAGAAAATTTTAAGACCACAGGGAGCTACAGTAAAAAAAATCCATTTGGTGGGATGGGGGCCATGCTCCCTCTAAGCTGTGGAGTCTTGTGAGCAAAAATTCTACTTTGTGAGCTACTGGCATTAAAGTTGTGAGTGAGCGACTTGGCTACTGCATAAATTAGTTTGCTCTGGAGCCATCCGTCCTGAGTTAAGGCAAAAACGTGTGAGCCGGAGGCTAAAAAACTGTGAGCTAGCTCACACTAACTCAGCTTAGAGGGAACACTGGATGGAGGTATTAGAATTACGGCATCATTGCTATCTATAATCATTGTACCACATAAGATGACATCAGCTTAGAGAAACCCCTTTGTTAATTGCAAAATGCTTAGAGAGCAGTCCTAAGGAGGTCCACTCAGAACCTCACTCATGTCTGTTCCATGAGGCTCACGCTCAGGAAAATGTTCTCAGGATAAATTGGGAAGCCCTCCTCCCCGCCTGGTTGTGGCACAGTACCGTTATTATTCTGATGACTTTGCAATCGATCCAGTCTGTATTAAACAGCCTTGAAATCCATATGCTAACCTTATGAACTAGCACTGGATTTGGACCCAAAGAAGAAATGGCCTCTGGTTTTCAAGCAATGGGGCCAATTCGCATTGCCCACATTGACCCTGAACATAAGCTAAATCCAGTCACCTGTGCAAACAATCTCCAGGACACAATGAGGTGCCAAGCATGTAATGTGCACACAGCAATATTTTTAGAATTAGATAAACCAGCCCTTGAAAAGATGCTTAAGTTGTCTTCACCAGATTGGCTGATGCTTGAGGGCTCACATGCAGGAATTGAGGAGAACCCACGACTCCCATGCGATTGTGTTACACCTTTAAAAAGGGATGGGGACCCAGACCCAACTAGCATACTCTGTAAGGCATGAAGTAAGTACCCAGTCTATGTATGATAGAGTTACCCACTGCAGGAACAGAAAGTGCTCCGGTTCCAGGTCTGAGGATCTTTATTCAACGTCCCAACCTCTCATGGTCACAGATTCTATGTCTTGCTAAAACCATCCGGGGAAATAATTTGAACAATTGACACAAAACTTTCAGATCACAGGATTATTTCCCTGAGCTTCTGACATCTGCCAGTTCCTGCTACGATGTTTGAAAACTGTCAAGAAAATAAGCAGTAGGGATCGAGGGAGAGAGAGAGAGTTGGAGGGGGGATGTAAGTTAAGGATGGACTGACCTTGCTGGCAAAGGAGGGTCAGCTTTGCCCGCTACCAGCCACGAAGACCTGTGGTAGGCATATCTGTATCTTTTATTGTCCACAGGAACAATATCCATCAGCACGATGAACTTGGCTTCTGGATCCACACCCGAAAAGGAAACCCTAATGGTTGGAAACATTCTTCTGAAATAGACAGAAGCAAAGGAGGTGATGGATATATACAAATAAGACCCCAGAAAGGGGGGGGGGAACCCTTTGGAAACTGATCAGAAGCAGACAGTATTGCAGGGTCACCAGAGAGAAAGGGAAATCCCAAAAATGCTTGTACGCACACACACACACACACACATTTGGTAAGGTTTAAAAATAAGCTGCGGTGGCTCAAGTGGTTAAGACGCTGAACTGCAGGCTGTGCAAGGTCGGTAGTTCAGCAGTTCGAGACCCGAGTGTGCCGCATGACGGAGTGAGCTCCCGTCTCTAGTTCCAGCTCCTGCCAACCTAGCAGTCCGAAAGCAAGAAATTGCAAATAGATAAATAGGTACCACTTCAGTGGGAAGGTAACAGCGTTCCGTGTGCCTTGGCGTTTAGTCATGCCAGCCACATGACCACGGAAACGTCTTCGGACAGCGCTGGCTCTTCGGCTTTGAAACGGAGATGAGCACCGCAACCCTAGAGTCGGATTCGACTGGCTTTCGAGCAAGGGAACCTTTACCTATACCTAAAAATAAGCCAAAGCTCCCTGCAAGAGATACGTGGGTTGAAGACACTCCATATTTTGAATATTCTTTCTGTCTTTGTTTTCTGTTACTGTTCATCTATTTTAAATAGTTAGAATGTATTGGGGGGGAGGTGTATGAACCGTGGCCCACACACAGGGCGAAAAACAGTCTTTCAGGAAGGCCGGCCCTTCTTGCCTTCCTTCCAGCTCTCTGCTGAATGGCAGGAAACTGAAAGAGGAGGGAGGTGAGGTGGCAGCCGAAGGGGCCAGCTGATCGGTGTGGACCCAAGAGCACAGGGGGGGGGGTCTTATGAGACCATGTGGACCGTATTGAAGAGTGGGACATGGGAGCAGCAGGCTGAATGGAGACTTCATGGGAGGGGGAAAGAATGTGGGAATAGGAGAATTGTTGGGTATTACAAGTTAAAATTACACTCAATATATATGGGGTCAAATGTTTGTTTGTGTGGCTCACAGGAAATCACATGTTTCATGTAACCAATGTTAGTTTAGAACTACAAGCCCTGAGAAATTCACCCTGATATAGGAGTTTGACTGGAGTGATAGTGTCAAAGTGTTTTAGCATTTTATGGCTTCTCTTCCCGTCTTTGTCTGGAGTTCTGAAGCAGAAAGAAGAGCAGCCATTACCTCTCTTCTAGTCTTGTCCTTTGTAGTGTAAAGATGTAGGAGATTTAGCTCTGTTGTTATTTTCTTCCCAGTTACCCTTCCCTATGCTAGAATGTAGTAAAAACTTTCTATTTTAAACACACATGGACTCTGAGTCTGAATTATTTTACTCTGGCACTGCTGAGCTATTTTATCTCTGCTAAAAAACCAATTTTTAAAAACCCCAACAAGAATGAAGCCACAGTTTGACATATGTCCATCTCCGAGGACTACACCATATCTCCTCCCCACACATCCAGGCAGTGTGGGGAAGTTATGTGTAGCTCTGGGCTTCGGATGAGACGAGACACAGAAACATGACTCATCCATGGTTCTGCTCTGCATCATGCCTTAAACCACCCATGATCAGCCCCTCCCCCCAATGTTGTAGACAAACAGTGCAGTCCAAAGTAGAGTCATCCCAGGGAGGAGGCTGGGCACCCTGTGGTGCCCCACATCCTTGGGCTGGCCCTGAGTCTGGATTGGACACAAGCCTTGACTGACAACTCTGCAGACAACTAAAGCCACGTTGCCAATTACATGTTTAGGTATCTATGCAAGACGTTGTGGGGATCAATCAGGAACCTGTGAGGGACTGCGACTCGCTGTGGAATGTCCTCTGTCTGTGAAGTAACCTGAAGAAAGACAGTTCCCCACGCGTGGGTTATGGCAGCCATGGGCAAAACTCTTCAGCACCACTGATGACACTCCTAAGACCAACATCTGCCAGTGTCTCGTGAATTGCTTCCGTAATTAATACATGAGAAATTGTGCAATCCGTGGGCAGAGAAAAATAATAATTTGTCAAGCTAGTTTGTAAGGATCTTTCATGCACGTATCAGACTCCCCGCATTAGAAGAAGAGTTGTTTTTATACCCTGCTTTTCTGTATCTTAAGGAGTGGCTTACAATCAATGCTCCCTCTAAGCTGTGGAGCCTTGTGAGCAAAAATTCTACTTTGTGAGCTACTGGCATTAAAGCTGTGAGCGAGCGATTTGGCGGCTGCATAAATTAGTTTGCTCTGGTGCCATCCTTCCTGAGCTAAGGCAAAAATGTGAGAGCCGGAGGCTAAAAAACTGTGAGCTAGATCACACTAGCTCAGCTTAGAGGGAACATTGCTTACAATCACCTTCCCTTCCTCTCCCCACAACAACAGGCACCTTGTGAGGCAGGTGGGGCTGAGAGAGCTCTGAGGGAACTGTGACTGGCCCAAGGTCACCCAGCAGGTTTCATGTAGAGGAGGAGTGGGGATTTGAACACGGTTCTCCAGATTAGTGTCTGCCATTCTTAACCACAACAACATGCTGGCTCTCCCTTTTGCCTTCCCAAGTATATCTTAAAAGGTAAAGGTTCCCTTGCTCAAAAGCCAGTCTAGTCCGACTCTAGGGTTGCGGTGCTCATCTCCGTTTCAAAGCCGAAGAGCCAGCGCTGTCCGAAGACGTTTCTGTGGTCATGTGGCCGGCATGACTAAACACCAAGGTGCATGGAATGCTGTTACCTTCCCACCAAAGTGGTACCTATTTATCTACTTGCAATTTCTTGCTTTCGAACTGCTAGATTGACAGGAGCTGGAACTAGAGACCGGAGCTCACTCCGTCATGCGGCACACTTGGGTCTCGAACTGCTGAACTACCGACCTTGCACAGCCTGCAGTTCAGCGTCTTAACCACTTGAGCCACCGCAGCTCCTAAGTATATCTTACATCCATTTTAATAATAATGGCCTGTATTCTACTCCTCCACTCTGCACCTTCACTTTATATGGTGCTTCATAGAGAACAAAATAACAAGCCTCTGTCCCCAGGAGCCTGCAATCAACACTTTAACTCAAGTCACATGACAAAAGACAGAAATAAAGAGGGGAAGACTGTTTCCATTCAACTTACATTTAGGGCCAGTCTCTAAGGGCTATTTCTGGTGGTGGAAAGCACCGTCAAGTTGTAGCCAATTTATGGCAACCTTGTAGTGTTTTCAAGGAAAGGGAAGTTCAGAGGTGGCTTGCCATTGCCTGCTTCTGTGTAGCAAACCCTGGACTTCCTTGGTGGTCTCCCATCCAAATACAAACGAGGGCTGATGACCACTGCGTAGCTTCTGAGAGCTGATGATATTGGGCTAGCCTGGGCCACCCAGGTCAGGGCAAGGGGTATTTCCAGGGTCATCTTAATGGAGGGCAACCTAGTGTGTACCCCCCCATGCACTAAACATACCTATACCAGTCCCTGATAGGTATTTGTTTGTTTTCTCATCTGTCTGCACTAATTTATCATCATCATCATCTGGCATTGTGTGTAGTACTGCCAGGAGATCTGAAGGTTGTCTGGCAAACTTTAAGTTCTAACTCTGTTTGCATTATGCACCACTAGGTGGCAAGATAAACTTATTGGGGGGGCTGGGAAAGCTCTGAAAGGGCTGTGACTGACCCAAGGTCACCCAGCTGGCTTCATGCGGAGGAGTGTGGAATTGAACCCAGTCCTCCAGATTGGAGTCTGTTGCTCTTAACCACTACACCATGCTGGTTCTCTGTGTCTGTACTGAATGTAGATCACAGATCATATAAAGCTGCCTTCTATTGAATCAGACCATCTGATTCCCAGACTGCCTACTCAGAGACTGGCAGTGGCTCTCCAAAACGACCTCTGAAATGTCTCTTGCCTTACAAACAAGTCTAGCTCACCACCTAGTGGTGCATAATGCTAAAAGAGCTAGAACTTCTAGCTGCCAGGCAATCTTAGGATCTACTGGCTATACAACACACAATGCCATATACTACTACTACTACTAATAACAACAACAGTACAACACACAATGCCATATACTACTATTAATAACAACAACAACAACAACAACAACAACAACAACAACTGGCTCTCCAGAGTTTCACATGAAGGCCTTTCACATCACCTACTGGTGGCCAAAAGTGCTGTCATGTTGTAGTCAACTTATGCCAACCCCGTAGGGTTTTCAAGGCAAGAGATGAAAAGAGGTGCTTTGCCATTGCCTCCCTCTGCATCACCCACCACCCAGTCCTTTGAAGCTGAAGATGGCAGGGGTCGAATCTGGAACCTGAGCCCTGGCCACTCCCCTCATGTTAACTCACACTCTTCAGAAAAGCAACCCTTCTTTCTAGACACGAATTTCTGTTCTGATTGCTATGTTTCCCCCCCCAAAAAAAACAAAACCCTGAAGGAATTTATGTATTGGATAAACCCAGTCCCAGAGGAGATTCAACTGCCAAGTCAGTGGATAGAAGAGGGCAGCAGAAGCCAGTGGGGACATGGCCCTCTAGCTCTCTGTTGCCCTTTTCACCCATCTTTCCCCCAATGGGGCTTTGGGGTGGAGCTCACAGATCTTCTCCATTTTAGCCTCCCAAGAACCCTACGCGGTTGGCAAGGCTGAGAGAGGCTGAGGAAACCGAGGCATTCCGGCAAGCTTCAGGGTAGGAGGGGGATCTGATCTCTCAGATACTGACAGGAGGGTCAGATCAATTCAGCAGGCTTCAAGCTCTCACCCTCCAACTTGGAGTCCTTTTATCTTCAGGCTCAGTCACCTCAGAGACAAGGCTCCAGAAGAACTGGCCCCTTGGGTTTGTAAAGCTGCAAATTGGGTCCTTAATATTTCAGCTGCTTAGCAGTTATCCACACATGCTGAACGTTAGGGAAACTGAGGTGGGGCTCCTTCAGGGTGGCTTTTTAGCCACGGGGGTTTCCAAAATAATCTTTTCGGGGAGAGCAAACTCAACTTTCCCCTTTTCAGGATTGTACGTTCAGCTAAAACAAAGTTGTAATTCTACCCTCTTCATACTGAAAGCGTGAGAGCTATCCCAAAGTCCCTTGAATATTCAGAGGTATCGTTCGGTGAACTCCTGGCTTATGGCATAGAAGGGAAGATCCCTCTGTCTGTTCTGCGCTGCCCCAGCAGTGGACAGCGATACTAATAAAGAGATCGTATTGGTTGAATAAAAAGAAGTGTCAACAAAATCAGAGTTTTCATGCCCCTGCTGATGCTTCGCTGGGGGGAGTGGGCACAAAACTTTCTCTGCATCCAAATCTGATAAAATCAAAACCTCAGAAAATATACAGACAGCATAGCATTGATGTTGGGTATTACAAGTTAAAATTACACTCAGTATATCTGGGGTTAAATGTTTGTTTGTGTTGCTCACAGGAAATCACATGTTTCCCATGTAACCAATGTTAGTTTAGGACTACAAGCCCGGGAAAATTCTCCCTGATCTAGGAGTTTCATTGGAAGTAAAGTGTCAAAGTGTTTTAGCATTTTATGGCTTCTCTTCCCGTCTTTGTCTGCTGTTCTCAAGAAGAAGTATGAGAAGCCATAATCGCTCTCTTCTAGTCTTGTCTTTGTAGTGTAAAGATGTAGGGAATTTAGCTCCGTTGTTATTTTCATCCCAGTTACCCTTCCCCATGCTAGAATGTAGTAAGAACTTTCTATTTTAAACACACATGGACTCTGAGTCTGAATTATTTTACTCTGGCGCTGCTAAGTTATTTTATCTCTGCTAAAAACCAATTTTTAAAACCCAACAATTGATATGGTTATTCATTGATTCATTCATTCAGTTAAGGGATCCGAACCCCATCTTTCTCCCCCAGACTCCATGGCAATAAAGATCCCAAGTGTGTTTCAGTCTCCTGTAGATTTGTTTTAATAAGAAAACCGAAGTATGCAGAAGGCTATTTCTGCTGTTTCGCACCATAACATTAAATAAAGACAAGAAAAGTAGATCTGTGGAGCCTGCAAGGGGGCTAATGTGGTTCATCAGCCGGTGACTGACTGCTACATAGACCGATGCCACGCATGCGTGAAGCAGCAGCCGGGGCAGATCCAGCCCTGCTGCCGGAACTTCCACAGCGGCTGACATGGCCCCAGATACAAGGCTCTTCAGACCAGGCGCCTGGCATTTTCTACTGGGAAGTCCCCCTGTGCATAGGGATTGAGCCACTGAGTGGCGGAGGAGGGACTCAGCACTTCTTCAGAAATGGCAGGGAACTTTCCCTGGCAGAAACACCAGGAGGGTTAAGACAGGGGGAAGGAGTTATTCTCCATTCCCATCCTTATGGCTCACTTCCTCCTACAAAATCCTAGGATTCCACTGTATAAAATGTCTTTACAAACTTGCTTGAGAGCCACTTTAGTGTAGCCATTAGGAGCACGGACTCTAAACTGAGAAAACCAGGTTTGATTCCCCGCGTCTCCACATGCAGCTGCTGGTGGGACCTTGGGTCAGTCACAAGTTCTCACAGAGCTGTTCTCTCAAGAGCAGTCCTTGACAGAGCTCTCTCAGCCCCACCTGCCTCACAGGCAGTGTTCCCTCTAAGCTGAATTAGTGTGAGCTAGCCCACAGATTTTTAGCCTCTGGCTCACACATTTTTGCCTTAGCTCAGGAAGAATGGCTTCAGAGCAAACTAATTTATGCAGTAGCCAAATCACTAGCTCACAACTTTAATGCCAGTAGCTCACAAAGCAGACGTTTTGCTCACGAGACTCCACAGTTTAGAGGGAGCATTGCTCACAGGGTGTCTGTTGTGGGGAGGGGAAGGGAAAGGAGATTATAAACTGCTCTAAGACTCCAAGTGAAGGGCAGGGTATAAATCCAATCTCTTCTTCCTCTTCTTCTAAATGATTAGGGACTGCAGTCTACGCTGGTGCGTATAGCTTACCCTAAGTAGGATCCTAATATGTAACGTCTCTACTGCTTAAAGTGTCATGTGAATACTTATGCTGTGCTTCAGTTCTTTCTGGTGGTTCCAGACTTCTAAAATCCCAAGGCACTGATTACTGAATGTCCCATTTTGCTGACTATACTGACTCCCTCTGTGTAATCCTCCTGGGGTCCTTGTGAGAAAGGCAGACGATAAATACTGCAAATCAATCAATCCGTTCAGTCCTGTCCTCCCTCTTCTTTAAACGTGTTGGGTATTTGCATGTTGAAAACACTCAATGTGTATCCTCCCCCCCACAACCTACCCCACAGGGTTGTTGTGAGGATAACTTGGAGGAGTCTAGAGAATTGTAGGTGCAGCCCTGACTTCCCGGTATGAAGAGGAGGGGTTAAAAAGTACTAAATCGGTCAGTGGCTTCACCCTCTTCGAGCTGCCCGAGGGCAACCATAACACAAAAGCGCGTGTTGCTGATGTAGTTTTTAAGGGCAAAGCTCTTTGTTGGGTATTAAAACACTCAGTATATCTGGGGTTAAATGTTTGTTTATGTTACTCACAGGAAGTCACATGTTTCTCATGTAACCAATGTTCTTTAGCTGCAAGAAGCCCGGGAATTTTCTCCCTGATCTAGGACTTTGATTGGGACGAAAGTGTCAAAGTGTTTTAGCATTTTATGGTTCCTCTTCCCGTCTTTGTTTGCTGTTCTCAAGAAGAAGTAAGAGTAGGCATAATCGCTCTCTTCTAGTCTTGTCTTTGTAGAGTAAGGATGTAGCCTATTTAGCTCTGTTGTTATTTTCATCCCAGTTACCCTTCCCCATGCTAGAATTTAGTAAAAACTTTCTATTTTAATCACACATGGACTCTCAGTCTGAATTATTTTACTCAGGCTCTGCTGGGCTCTGCTAAATACCATTTTTCAGTATCTCACTATCACTCTTTCAGGCAGTGCTTCCCTCTCCCGCTTCCCGGGTCTTACCTCCCGGATTTGGTGATGATCATCTCGGTGCCCAGCTCGTGGAATTTGTCCCAGAGCTCCTTGGTCTCCAGGCTGCAGGAGATCTTGGCCATCTCCTCGCTGGGGATGATGGGGGTGGTGGGGATCAGGGGCTCGGTGCAGAGCGAGGCGGGGCTGCTGCCGCTGCTGCCGCCGTTGCTGAAATCCCCGTGGGCGTCCAAGGCGGGCAAGTCGGTCAGAGGCTGCGAGCAGGAGGACTTCTCCACGAATTGCTCTGGAAAGGGGCAGAGAGGGCGGGGGAGGGCGACCGCCCGGTGAGAAAGAGGTTGCTGAGGAGGAGCCGCCGCATCAGCGTCAAGGAAACCCAAATCGCCCGCCCGGGAAAGGGTCAGGACTAGGAGACCCCCGCGGAGGGGGGGGGAGCGATTGAGGACTGGTCTAAAGTAGTGAAATTGACAAGCGAGCAGAAACGTCTTAAGTACCAGAGATGAAATTGACTATCACGAGATTGACAACATCCTTGTGAATATCGTAGAGGATCAAGGCAACTTCTCTCTCTCTCTAGATACGCTGAATTGTATGTTTTCCTGAGGATAACGTGATTTATGGGCTGTCTTCCCCCGCCCCACCGCCCCCCATTTGTCTAAGCACCCATGCTTTTGGAAAACGGAGCGTCCGAAATTACGGACCTAGTGACAGAAAATTCAAATCCCTTTCATTTCAGTGGAGGAATTTAAGCATCTGCGTAAAGCTCTCCGAAGTGCCCAGTGCGGGCTGGACTGACGCGCGGCATTCAGAAATATGTTAGGAACCTCTTCCCCCACACCGAAATAAAGACGTCCCGTTATCCCGCTCCTACGAATAAAATCCCCTGCTGCGATCCAGACCGGACCGGACCCAGACCACTGACTTCGAGGGTGCTTACATTTAAAAACCTGCAGAGCTGTGCTCCTACTTGGGCGTAAGCACAGTCGAATCCGATGGGTCTTGCTTCCTAGAAAACGTGCTGTCAGACTGAACACAAAAGCGCCTCTTTTCGGGTTTCCAGACTGCCATCACACGCACTAAATAATTCACTTCCAGTGCACTTTCCAACTGGTTGTTGTTATTTTGTTTGTTTGTTTTTAAACTGGCAAAATCCAGTTGGAAAGTGGACTGAAAGCGGATTATTTCGTGCGTGTGATCACAGCTCCAGTTTGTTTTCGGAGGGCAACCTGAACCGGAGCCCTGAGAGGCGCAAAGCGTCCAGACAGCTCTCAGCCTCCGCGCCGCCACCTCGAATCACGGACGATTACAAAACGATCAGAGTTGTTTTTCAAGTGCTGCAGAGAGAGAAAGTGTATCTCCGCGGCGGCCGCCACTTTCCCGGCGGCTTCCCCTTTCTGTTCCATCTCCAGGTCCCTCCCTCAGGCCTAAAAGAAATCAACCCTGACTGTTCCCTGGAAGGCCAGCTAATGAAACTGAAGCTCCAATACTTTGGCCACCAAATGAGAAGGGAGCACTCACTGGAGAAGACCCTGATGCTGGGAAAGATTGAAGGTAAAAAAGAAGAGAAAGGATGAGATGGTAAGACAGTGTCATAGATGCAACGAACATGAAGTTGAGCAAACTTCAGAGGACGGCGGAAGACCGGAAGGCCTGGCGTGATCTGGTCCCTGGGGTCGCGAAGAGTCGGAGTCGACTGTGCGACTGAACGACAACAACAACCTACAGGCCAGCCAGGAAAGGCAGCGTCCCGATCTGTGCGCTTAGAGATGAGCAAACGCGCTTAAAGTGCGGAGCCTTCCGAGGAGCGAGTGGGCGTCGAGGAGGTTTTGCTCCCGTCCGGAACTACCTACAGTCCACCCGCCGCAGCCGAGGTACCTCCCGAAGGACAAAAGCCTCCGTCTGTTGCGGCAAAACTAGAGAGGAGTCCGGCGGCCTCGGAAAGACGACCAGCGCCTCTGTTGCTGGACTCCGCGGTCCCATCAGTGGACTTTTGTCGAATCCCGCAGCAGCAGCAGATCAAAGGCGAGGCCAGAGGCAGATCAAAGTAGGGGCTGCGCTCTCCTCGGACCGGGTGAAGCTCGGCCGTGTCCCGCCAGCGGCCTCCGCTCCTGGTGCCTCTTCTCGAGGCGCGGCCGTTTAGTAACCCCGACTGAAAACGGGGACTCTCTAATATGCGCGGAGCTTTCAGGGGCTCGGGGCCCTTTCCTCGCAAAGGAGTCCGTTTGAACTCAACGGGACTTTCTTCTGGGTAAAGCGAAACGCAGCCTCAGGACGTTTTTTATATATAAAAATAATAATCTTGCCGAGGTTTTGCAGGGAACAAATTTCCTTCTCCAGGCGCAAGACAAGAACCGAGGCCTCGGCAAGAGGGCCGGATGAGTGCGGGGAATGGGGGGGGGGGGGGGGCCCCTGTTTGGATGTTGGTTTCCTCAGGCCTGAAGCAGAGGGGAAGGCGGACACTGGGCACGATCCAGGCACGCTCGAAGCACTTTTTTAAAGCACCCCGTTGATTTCACCCGGTGATCGCCGGGGAACCAGCTGAAATCAAAGATCCCTCCCCCCGATATGTGCGTCCAGATGTTGTCCCTCCGTCGGGGGGGGCGCATGTGGAGTTTACAGGACGGGGAGAAAGAGCCAGACGCCAAAAGGGGGGGGGCATTGCCAGGAGAAAAGCCCTCCATCGCGACCCAGAAAGAACAGGACAGGAACCGGAAGCCGCGTCCAGGGACTGTTCTGTCCCATCGCGAAGATTATCGTTCCAAAGGATGGGGGTGGCCCTCTACACCCTCCGAGTCCAGCGGCACTGGCAACGCTGCTTCCCGCAGCAGGACTTCTCCTGAGCCAGAAGTCAGTGCGCCAAGGACGCGCCCGGAGCAGGCATTTCGGCCGCCCCCCGGGGGGTTCGACGAAGGGTTCTCCAGCGTTTCTGCCCCGCCGCCACGGCAGTCTGGTCGGTCTTTCAGGGGCTGCTGGACTCCAACTTAGTTCTACCAACACGGCCGCCCCTCCGACACTCTGTTGGCTTCTAACAAATTCAGGTGGGCGTAGCCGTGTTGGGCCGAAGCAGCAGAACAGAGTTCGACTCCGGTGGCACCTTTCAAGACCAACCACGTTGGATTCAAGGCATGAGCTTTCGTGAGAGCGCGCAGGGCTCCCTCTGATACAGTGAAACAGAATTTCCTCAACCACTACATATTAGGAAGAGGGGTGGGTGTTTCGCCATCGTATAGGTAGCATCTATACTATAGCACCTTCTAAACGTTTTACGGTTTTAACCTGTTTTTAACTTATAATGTAAGCCGCCCTGAGCCTGCCTCGGCGGGGTATAAATCTAAATAAGTAAATAGAATTTAGTTGCTAGGAAGGGCCAATTAGAGTCAAGACAGAGACAGGAACAGAATTGGAAATTACCAATCCATGCACATAGGTAGAGGGTGAGCAGTAAATCATCAAATGGCATAATGACGATGTTAAAAAAAATCCAAGGATCAAACAGGAATCAGAAATTTAGGCTGTGGTCACATGCACTGAATAATCCACTTTCAATCCACTTTCAATGGACTTTCCAACTGGATCGTGCCAGTTCACACAGTAAAATCCAGTTGGAAAGTGCGCTGAAAGTGGATTATTTAGTGGGCGTGACCACAGCCTTAGTTTACATGGTAACCATTCGTTTGGGTTACAACAAAGTTCGAGTCCAGTGGCTCCTTTAAGACCAACAAAGTTTTATGCCTATGCCTGCGTGCACGCTTCTTCAGATACACTGAAACATAAATCACCTACCATTACGTATATTCTATCTCGGTTTATAACGTTAAGCATAAACTGCGCGCTGCGACTGTGCACACGAGGAGGTGAGCTTTGATTCTGGGAAATCTCTGCGGGAACTAAAGTTGTCGGTCCTCCAGGTGCCACCCGGACTCCAGATTTGCGGGTCAAAGATTAGCAGCCGGTGAGTCTCCCCGGGGCGCCAATCCACGCGGAAAACTCTGTTCCACAAACCTCCCTGTGGGAAGGCACGCAAAGGTCTCCCGAGAGGGGGTGATCCGGGGAAGTTCCCCTCGCGGTCCTGCCAAGAGTTTGGGACTCCAGCTGATAAGGAGCCCTGGTGCGACTGAAGGCAGGGAAGCCGGCCTCGTCGTGGCCCCGATTATCCTCGCCTTTTAGAAAAGAAAGCGCTCGAAGGCGGGGGGGGGGAGGCCTGTTCCTGGGGGTCTGGCTGGGAGAGGCCTGTGGGAGGGAAACCCCAACCAGACTTTTCCTGGAGGGCTGAAACTGACCAGAGAGAGACAGACCCGGAAGGGGAGCGGAGCCTCGACTCCAGCAGCACCAGGCCAAACGGGACCGGTCCCCAGAGACACATGCCGGATCCCCGACCGTATAAGGGGGAAAGGCGCCTTCAGGAAGCCTTCGCAGTCCTCCCGGGCACTTCCTAGGCGGCCATTCCCATTCCGCCCCCGCCCTTTAGGATTCAACTGCCGAGTCCGCGCAGATTTCCACCGCCCGTTTCAGGCGAAGTTCACGAACTGCTGTCTGACCCGCGATCCAGCCGGATGGACTCGATTTAATCACGGACGCGCTGCGCTTAAAGGACAGGCCGAGCGTGTGTCCGGGGAGGTGCCCGATCCCACAAGCTGGCTACACACCCGAGGCAATCCAGGGGCCCTGCGCCGTGGGTCGTCTGATGTAAAGCTTCGCTTGGGAACCACCGGGCCTCCCTGACCAGGACCGAGCCCCCCACCCACCCCTGGCACCGGCGCCTCGCTCGGCTCCTACGCCTCCTTTAAGCCGCGCGAGTCCCCGGACTCTCGGGCAGCTCCCGTGGAGCCGAAACGAGGCGAACGTCGCAGAGGACTTCTTGGTGGGTTGTTGTAACCTCGCCATCATTTTCATCCCGAAATAAAATCCTTTTAAATTCTTCTTCCCAATCGGGGATCATACGCGTAATGGAATCCTCTACATGCCCCTTGTTTGGGAGGAAGCAAAAGGGTGCCGGGGGAGGGGGTTTGCTTTGCTCTCCTGTAAGGTGAATGCGCTGGCTGGCTGGCATCCCTATCTCGCGCAGGGCTACTCGGGAGTAGAGCCCCGCTAACTCAAGGAGACGCGCGAGATAAGCTCGTTTAACAGGGGCTGCTTTCCCTGCAGGGCTTCCTTGCTCAGGAAGGGAAGTGGGGGGGGGTCTCTTGGGAGGGATTTCCGGAAACCAAATACATTTTTACTCGGACAAACTGGTAGATAAGAAACTCCCGTCCCCCCACACTTAGGTGGAGCCCCTTTGGCCTTCCGCAGATGTGGAGGAGAGACGTGGTCCGAAGAGGCCTTCGGAGGAGGCCCCGCCCGGTCTCCGGGAACAGCCCTGACCTACTCACACGTTGCCCGGGGAGAAGCACCCCCTCCTCCCTCTGCGCCAGCGAAGGCCCGGCTCCCCCCACCCCCCGAGGGCTGCCCCGCCGGGGTCGACTGCTCAGAAGAACCCCGTCGGTCTCCGCGGGCCTGGCCTCCCCCCCCCCCCCACCCCGGGGCGCGGCGGGCCCCCCCCTCGTGCTTCGGCTTCTTGCGGGGAACCGCCTGCAGCGAGTGGCTGGCAGTCCGGGTGGGGCGATCCCCTTCGGCTGCTGAAAGGGAAGGAGCCTCCGGAGGGTTCGGGGCAGGGGGAGAGCCGGGCAGAGGGAGGTGGCTTCCACGGGAGGGCCCGAGCGCCCTCGCTGGAGTCGGCGGGGCTGGGAAGCGGCGCTTCAAGAACAACGACAAGGCGGGCCCCGCTGGCCCCTGCGTTATAGACCGGATCCAGAAAGATTCGGCCACTCTCAATTACTCCCCTCGAAACATCAAAATCTGCACTTCGTGATTTTTCTTTTTCCCGGGAAAACTGCCGTCGCAGGAGAGACCGGCGAACTCTTCAAGGTTTCCAGGGCTGTGCGGTCACACACGCGCTAAATAATCCACTTTCAACCCACTTTCAGTGCACTTTGCAACTGGGTTTTTACTGTGTGAACTGGCACGATCCAGTTGGAGAGTGGATTGCCAGTGGATTATTTCATGTGTGTGTGTGTGACCGCAGCCAAGGAGGCCGTAAGAGAGAAACCTACCGCAAGCTGTCGGTCCTGGTTTTCCGGGATCTGTGCTTGCAAATCAGCCTTCTCCTTTGACCAAATCTAGGGATGACCCAGGAACCCGAACCACCCGCAGTTCCAGGGGCCTGAACAGGGGGAGCGAAAGACGGGATTCTTTTCTTTCTTTCTTTCTTTTTTTTTAAAAGTCCATGTGTAACAGCAGAACGTTTTAAGCCTTTCTGACCCTCCCAGGGGTCAGGGGAGGAGGAGCGGCGGCAGCGGAAAAGAGCCAGACTCCAGCAGCACCCAACCAACTGTGTGGCCGGGCAGGGGCTCTCCAGAGTCACCGCGGCTCCAGATGCCTGCGGGTGTCCGAAGGCCCTGAGTGAGTGGCTCAGACGGGGCGGGCCAAACGAGAGGACGGCGGCAGAGGAATGGATCCAATGGGCAGGGAGCCCGAGAGAAAGCCGAGTGAGCGAATAGTCAACGGGTCGGAAAGGGTGGATTGGACTTTCTCGGCCAACTGCGAGCTCCTCGGGGGCAGAGATCTCTGGGCTTCCTGAGGGGAAGGTTCTCTTTTCCGGAACAGCGCTGGGCTGTCCGTTTCATCCGCCGGCCCGGGCAGGAAGGCAGCTCTGGCCAGGCCGAGAGAGACCCCGCCGCGGCCAAGGCCCCCTTTCCTCAGTCCAGAGCGCGCAGGACGCCGAGAGCGGCTTCCCGTGGTGGGTGGGGGGGTCCCCCGCTTTGACTTCCCGGGGGCTGGCCGCACCGGTCTTCTGTCCCGCTGCAAAAGTAGCCAGGAGTCTTGGGACACCACCCGAAAGACTAACCGAGCCGTCTTCCTGGGTCAGAGGCGGCTTTCGGAGACGCGGGGAGCGGATCCCCACGGTGCGCGTCTGAAGAGGCGGGTTCTAATCCGTGGCAGCAGCTGGATCTGGGAAGATGCCCTTCGGCCAGGCTCTGAAGGGCGACGAGACTCCCGGTTGTTTCCCCTCGTCGGGTGCACTTCCTGAAGTGGGTCCCGTGGGATCTGGCTCCTCTTGGACGGATCGTTTTTCAGCCTGGGCCCTCACGGGGTCGTTCCCAACGACGACGACGACGACAGGCAAGGGTTCGATCCAACGAGACGGCTGGTTCGCGAAGCCCTTTGCGGCGCACGAAGCTTTGACTGGTCTCGCTTCAGCGGAAGTTTTTGCTGGACAGACCCACTCTCTGCTGCCCGGGTCCTCTCCGGCCTCCGGGGCGATAGGAAAGCCGGTGCTGGACTTACAGAGAGACCGTCGGGAAAGGTCTCCGGGACTCCCCTCACGTTTCGCCTCCCCAGACGGCGACCAGAGCTCCCAAGGACCCCCCCCCCGCGCCGCCACAGGGTTAGGAGAAGGAAGAGCCCGGCCGACGTTTCCTGGGCCGCCCGGGGAGGGGGCCCCCTCCTTTCTCCAGGAGTTTTGTGCCCTGAGACCAGCCACGAATCTCACCGCCGCCGTGGCAGCCTCACAGCCCGCGGGAGTTTGGTGGCCCTCGAGAGACTCTCTTCTCCCAGGAGCCCCTCCCCGCCCGGGCCCCCGCGCCTCGGATCGGGCCCCCCTCCGCACGCCCGCTCGCTCCCCCCCCAGCCCCTCCGACCCGACTCACCGAGGGGCTTGATGGTGTCGTGGGGGCACTCCTTGGCCTTGGAGCTGCCGCTCGACATGAGCGCCGCGATGGAGAAGGCGTTGGCCCGCGAGGAGAGCTGCGGCTTGGGCGAGGCGCCGTACTCCATGGTGGCCGCGCCGGGAGAGCCGCCGGGCGGGCGGGCGGTCATCTCCCGCCGGCTCCTCTCTCCCTCCTCCTCCCCGGGCTGGCCCAGGCGAGAGCGGGGCTGGCGGCGTCTGCCCACCACGGCTGGAGGGCTCCCAGTGCCGCCGGCCCCCCGGGCTCCCCTGCCTTAACTTGCCGGCCGCCGAGATCCTATCGGCCGCCGGCCAATCAGCGCCCGGCCACGTCAGGCCTCCCGGATCCCGCCGGAAAAGAAGGGAGGGGGGCTGGAGCTGGGGAAACTCCCCCTCCCTCCCGGCCAGCCCCCTCCGGCCGGGGCCTGCCTTGCCCGCGGGGAGGAGGGAGGGGGGCCTCCGGCGCCCAGCCCCCTCCTCGGGGCGCCCTTTCCGCTCTGCGGGCCGCCCACGTGGGTCGCTTGCCCGGGAGCATCTCCGCTGGGTCGGCTCCTTTCCGTGGCCCCCGGGCCCCGCGGCGCGGCTTTCCCTTCCGGAAGGGAGCCCAGACTCCACGCCCACCCCCAGCGGGCTCCTCCGAGGCACCAGCGACGTGGACGGGGGGCGGGAGTCCCTACCGCCTGCCGCGGCTGTGCAGAGGCCGCACTGCTGGTTGCCGCGCACGGGGCCCTCCGACGACAGCGGAGAAGAGAGCGGGAGCGGCTTCGCATCCTCGAATGCGCCGGGTGGGCCAGCCCTTCTGCTTCGCTCCGACTCTTTTCTTCAGATTTCTATCTAACCCCAGGTCTCCACAAGGCAGGCGGCACTGCTCCCCACCCTATCCCGGGGAGAAAGGCGGGCTCCCAATCGCCTAAAGGGCCCCCCGGACCCGTCCCGCTGCCACAGACTAACAGGACCCTGCCCCCTCTGGAATGGCGACGGGCTGACGGCGGGGCCCCAGGTTCGCGTCCCCAAAGGGCACAGAGCCCTTGGCGTTCAAAAGAAGGGCGGAGGGGCTTTGAGCTGGGTGGATAATGCGGTTGTTTCCGAAGGCCCCGAGTGTAGAGCTGGCAAGAGGTTTTGTTCAGAAGGACTCCGCACCGAAGGTTCTGGTATGACTCGATTTTATCCAGCAACGGAATCACAGGGATCCGGAGCTTGAGCAGGCACCCCTGGGAGAGATGGAAACGCCCCCCCCCTTCGGGAGTGTCCTGATTTCTGGCTGCGGTCACACACACACTAAATAATCCACTTTCAACGCACTTTGCAACTGGATTGTGCCAGTTCACAGTAAAAAATCCCGTTGGAAAGTGCATTGAAAGTGGATTATTTAGGGTGTGTGTGACCGCAGCCTCCGGCTCTCTGTATGGGACCCCACGGCTACATCGAACGAGAATCCGATGGCCCTTTCCACATTGACCGGGCGGATTCCGGCTTAAGCGGCCCTGCAGGGCTCACTTCATCAGATGCATGACGGGCACACTCATAAGGTCGATCCATTTAAACGCACGCACCACGAAAAGAGAGGTGTGGAAATGTTACCTCCCCCGGCCAGGAAAGGCCAGGAGCCGGAGCCAGTCCCGGCGCAGTCGGAGCACTTGCACGCGTTCCCCCTCCCCCCGCCCTCCCAAAGCCGGGCCCAGTTCTCAGGGAGGAGGCGAATCTGCAGTCTGAGTGGTAAGGCTTGGGGGGCGGGGGGATCGAGGGCTCCCGAGGTCGCAGCCTCCCTGAGGTTTGCCTGCAGAGAATCTTCTAACGAACACGTGGAGGCGAAGGCCGAGTTTCCCAGGCGGGAAGAATGGACGGATAATGGCGCCCCAGGTTGTGCGGGACTAGACGTGTTTCGCCTGGCCGGTTGGCACCCCGACTGATCGGGCAGCCATACCAGGGCCGTGATTGTAGCCCAGGACCACCGACTGGAGATTCCTGGCTAATCAGCTTTCCCGCTGCCCAGGAGCGTCTTGGGGCAGTTCACCCCCCTCAGCCCGCAGAATCATCACGGATCGGAACGAATTCGAATTCCTCGGCAGCTGGGCGTTGAGCTCGTTCACGCATCACCGGGCGGCCGCTCCAGGGAAGACCGAGTCGCACGTGTGAAGGCGCCAGGAGTCCCGCTCTGACGCCACAGGCGGAACGGGGCGCAGCGGAGTAAATTCACCCGCTCCGTTTCGCGCCACGCTTTCAAAAATACTGGGTCTCCGGAGACTCCTGGCTTCGGAAGAAAGTTCGGTTGAAACCAGCAGTGCTGGTAGGTAAGAACGGGGCTGGCTGATGGTGGCAGGCGAGACCAGCAGTGCTAGTAGGAAAGTAAGAACGGGGCTGGCTGATGGTGGCAGGAGGGCCAAGGGGCGACGAACAGGCTGCCAAACGGGAGACGCAATAACGTTGCTCCTGCTGGCGGCTGGTTGCTCCAGCCCTGCTGACCCTAACCCTCTTGCGCAGAGGTCCTTTCCGTTTCAGGCTGCGAGCCTCGGCCGCATGGAGGAGGAGCCAGTCCAAACCGAGCTCACTTCCGAATCAAGAGGCTTCGGGGCAGGCACCCATCTGCCTTGTGAGAGCTGGAGCAGCCTGCCTCCATCCGTACAAGGTCCAATCGACTCCATCTGCTCAGGAATAAATCCCACTGTATTCAGTGGTGGGAGCTCACTCCCAGGAAAGTGTTCTTGGCTGCGTAGTCACACATCCTAAATAATCCACTTTCAGAGCACTTCCCAACTGGATTTTACTGTGTGAACAGTTCGGAAGTGTGTTGAAAGTGGATTGGATTATTTAAATGTGTTGTGACCGCAGCCCTTAAGGTCACACCCGAAGGCGGCTCCTCTCCACGGCCACTTTGGTGTAGCGGTTAAGCGAGCGGACTCTAATCTGGGAGAACCGGGTTTGATTCCCCACTCCTCCACTGGCAGCTGCTGGATGACCTTGGGCAAGCCATAGTTCTCTCAGAGCCGTCCTTGAAAGAGCAGTTCTTGAAAGAACTCCCTCAGCCCCACCTACCTCACAGGATGTCTGTTTGTGGGGAGGGGAAAGGAAAGGAGTTGGTAAACCGCTCTGAGTCTCTGAGTGAAGGGCGGGGTATAAATCCAATCTCCTCCTCCTCCTCCTTTTAAGCAGGTCAATTTCAAACCGCTGGCTTGTCAATTTCTCTGTCGCAAACTGACTTCGCCCGTCCCCTCAATCAGATCACACGTATAATCCTATTCCCATCCAAGGTCCAAACCCCACTTCAGGGAATGCGCTTTGCTTGAAATCGACGTCGTTCTGAGTTGGGCTAGACTGGTCTGAATTAAGGGACTGGGTTTTCTATCTGTAGAGTTAATACGAGCTGGAGACTGAGCCTAAATGGGCACAATCTCGTCATAAAGCTGGGAGCCGGCCTCGGAGATCCCCGTGGGGCACGGGTTAACGGGCTTGGACGGAGGTATAGCCTGGGATGACAACAGGGGCCAAATATTCGCGTCACAGCATAACTGAAGTTTTCGATTCAGGGTTTTCGAAGATTTAATACGCATGCCCGTTGCTTCCTCAATCCGGCCCAGTAATTGTCAGTCTCGGACGATTTCACTGAATTGACAGGAGGTATACCATTCAGAGAACAATCCAGATCAGATTCTCACTTAGAGGACTTTAGTCATAGCGAAATGTCTTCAGGACTGCACTGGAAGCGGCTCAACAAAAAATATATATAGGGTTTCTACAGCTTCTCTTAAAATTGATATTTTACTCAAGGGAATCAAATAAAAACGAAGATGTGCGAACTTCTTGGAACAGATCAACATGGGCAGCTTTAGTCTGTCTGTAGCAGTAGAAAAGCGCAAGAGTTCAGGAGCACCTTAAAGAGGAGGCAGGGGAGGAGTTTTCGTGAGCCACTGCTCACTCCTCCAGATAAGGTTCGTCAGTTTCCTTCCTCTGTGGGAACTCCTGGCCTTTTCTTGGAATGGTCCTGCGGCCAAAGTGTGACACACAGACGTGTGCGATCAGAATCCAGGCGGCCTTCAACGTAAAGGGGGGGGGGGTCCACACGTTTGTGTTTGGTGCACGAATTTTGTTGGGTGATAGTGAGATATTGAAAAAAAATGGTATTTAGCAGAGATAAGATGGTCCAGCAGTGCCAGAGTAAAATAATTCAGACTCAGAGTCCATGTGTGATTAAAATATAAAGTTTTTACAAGATTCTAGCATGGGAAGGGTAACTGGGATGAAAATAACAACGGAGCATAATCAGCTACAACTTTACTCTACAAAGACAAAACTAGAAGAGAGAGATTATGGCCACTCTTCTTCAGAACACCGAACAAAGATGGGAAGAGAGCCATAAAATGCTAATACACCTGGACACTTTAGTCCCAATCAAATTCCTAGATCAGGGAGAAAATTCCCGGGCATCCTACAGCTAAAGAACATTGGTTACATGAAAAACATGTGACTTCCTGTGACTAACATAAACAAACATTTAACCCCAGATATACTGAGTGTTTTCAACTTGTAATACCCAACACCCCTTCTGAAGTTATAACACGAAACTCATGCAGATTCAAACATTCATGAAGAGTTTCAAAACGTGTTGGGTGTTACAAGTTAAAACACTTCTTCAGTATTTACTGGGTTAATGATGTTTGTTAAATCACATGTTTGTTTGTAACCAATCAGTTTAGAGAGTTAGAAAGCCCGGTATCCTCAGATCTAGTTTGTTGTTCTGATTGGAGACCAGAGTGCCAAGTGTTAGCATTTTATGGTTCTTTGTCCTGAGCAAGAAGAAGAAGTTAGTCTTCGTCATTCTTCTGCCATTTTCTGTCTAGCTGTAAGGATGTAGGAATATTAGCTCTTTGTTATTTTACATCCCGTGTACCTTTTCCCCATGCTAGGTTGTAGTAAACTTTTATCTTTTAAACACACCATGGACTCTGCCTCTTTAATACTCTGCTGATTTACTTTAAAATTAAGAATACCCCAACAAAACGTTGCTTGTCAAGTGGCTTGGTCAGGATGTCTGCAATCATCTGATCAGTAGGACAGTATTGGAGTTTGTTGGGTTATAGTGAGATACTGAAAAATGGTATTTAGCAGAGCCTGA